TGCGTCTCCTCCCGAGACCGCCGTCGATGCTCCCACACCTTGAAGGACGGGTGCAGGAGTGACTGGCATCTACGAAGGACCAGAGAAACCCGGAGGAGGGCCTTGCCCAATCGGCCGGGTCATCGTCCAAGCGTCGTCGAACATCGACTGCAAGTTTTTGGGAATTCCGTCCGCCATAGCTGAGCTTCAAACACAACTTCGTAAACAAAATATCCTCACAGATGGCGCCAATAATGCAAGTGTGAGCGTCCTGGACCGGTTTAGAGCAGATCGGTTCTTGTCCTCGCCGGTAGAACGCTGGAAACCTGCAAATAACTCTCACACCGGGAGTTGTGTCCGGTGAAGAGCCTCCGATGCTTAAGTCAGTATGTGTGTGAGTATACTGGAGTTGAATAATAGAAAAATCGTCTTAAGGAAGAAAGACTCACCTCTTTTATATAGGAGTGAGATACCTGACCTAAGGCTGCCCGGACTTGGTGAGCTGGCTGCCCAAGCTGCCCGTCCGTACTCTGACACACCGCGCGCATGTCAGAGGTGGTGGGGGGCGTTGGGAGCTGTCAGAGGTGGTTGTCGCTATCAACCAATGTGTTCTCGACACGTGTCCTTCTGCACATGGAGTAAATATCCTTCTGAAATTCCGTTAGAGGCTCTCACACGCGTCTGTGACTAGGCCGATCTATGAAGTGTTAAACCCGCGAGGTGTCGACCTGTTGAGGTCGACTAGACTGCTCGATCACTTTTCTTGTCGAGTGATGGATTGGTCGACTGATTGACTGGTCGACTGATTGACTGGTCGACTTTTCCACCACTCGGCTCGGTTTCCTCATGGTGTTGCCTCTTCGACCGGTTCGACAGACCGGTTTGGCCTTGTGGGTATAATATCCTATATCAAACATATAATTTGGGTCAAAATTGTTTATGGGTGGAGTCCCCAAAAGCCGTGAAAATAAAGTGATGCCCATTTGGATAACGCATAAAGAAAAAAAAAATTAAAGGGTGGTTGGTACGGGTGGTTGACTGACATTCACTTTCAATAACTGTTATCATTGCCTCTTAATATAAAAAGGCATCAAGGGGTTATCATTTTGGCATCAAAAGAAGTTTTATTCTTCAAAAGCTTAATTCTGTATTATTTCATACGTCCGAAAGAAATAAGGCAAAATTCACGGTCTTTTGAAAGATTTTCAAATCCCAAATCCAAATAAACAATCAACATGAATCCATCAGGTATGCTTCCGTTATTTGGTTATGATTCTCGATTATTCGATATGAATGCACTTGGGATTAATATCGATTTATTTCGAATAAAGTTAAATCCAGTTTATATCAGAAGCTCGACGGCTTCGAATCGAAAAAAGTGTGTTATGATTTTCACAGGTTGTTGTGTTATCTTCCTCGATGGTGTGTCAGTGTCAAAGACTGATCTTAGATTGTTTGTGATCTTTTTGCTGAAGTTGCGAATTTGTTTGTGAAATTATTTATGAATTTGTTTGTGAAATTATTATTGAATATGTGAACTTGTAACTGATGTAATTGCTTGGAACATCTTTCTGAAAACGTTCGCACTAAACTGATCACACTTTGACCTGCTTATATTTTT